TTGTTAATTTCTACCTTGTTGGCATTGTGGTCAGAGAAGATACTTTGTATTATCTCAGCGTTTTGGATCTTGTTGACGACTGCTCTGTGGCCTAAGATGGTCTCTTCTGGAGAACGTTTCATGTGCATTGGAAAAGAAGGTGTACTTTGCAGCTGTTGGGTGGAGTGTTCTATATATATCTGTGAGGCCAAGTTGGCTGATTGTGCCCTTTAGGTCTTTTGTATCTTTGTTGAGTTTCTTTCTAGATGTTCTGTCCTTTACCGAGAGTGGTGTGTTGAAGTCTCCTACTATTACTGTGAAACTGTCAATTTTCTTTTCCTTGCGGTTAGAGTTTGTTTTATGTATTTTGGAGCCCTGTCATTGGGTGCGTAGATGTTTATTTTGGTATGTCTTCAGGATGGATCATCCCCTTAATCATTATATAATGTCTTTCTTTGTCTTTTATGGTAGATTTTGTTTTAAAGTCTATTTTATCTGAGATTAGTATTGCCACTCCTGTTTTTTTTTTGGTAGCTGTTTGCTTGATATATTTTTTTCCATCCTTTGATTTTTAATAAATTCACATATTTATTTCTAAGGTGTGTCTCTTGTAGACAGCATATTGATGGATCCTGTTTTTTATCCATTCTGTCACTTCTCCATCTCTTTATGGGTGCATTTGGGAAGTTTACATTCAGTGTAATTATTGATGTGAGTTTGTTGCTGTCATTTTGTAGTGGTTTTTTTTGTGGTGGTGATGTTTTCTTTGTTCCTCTTACTCTCTTGTGCTGAATTCCTTTTGTTTGTGGACTTCTTTTCATTTGTTCTTGTAGGTTTTGTTTTTTCTGAGACTTTATGTTTTTCTTCTTTATTTATTTTGTTGTAGTTCAGGTGAAGGCTTAGAGAACAAATAGTTTCTCATGAAACAGTAGTATACATGTTGTTTTATGACATTGGTTAACAACCCCACAACATATCAGCCCTCTAACTTCTCAACCTTTTTTTTTTGGTGAAAATACACATAGCCAAAGATAAACCATTTCAAAAATTTCTACACGCACAGTTCAGTGACATTGACTACG